AAAAAAATCACACTCGAGAAAAGCGGCTTTATACATAGTTGATTACCACCAAGCCTAATGGAAAAAGAAGATTACAACTCTAAGGGCGTAATTCCACATATTAAGCACAAGCAAACAAAAGGATGAAGGCAAAACTTAAGAAATAAACTTTTCCGATCACGTCATGTTAAAATTCTTGGAACTTTTCTGGCCTATAAACTGCCCAAAGCCCAAGTAAAATCTTCGGCTGTAGTAACATCTCGGCGCAAGCGGACTTAAAAGAGGCAACCCTGAGTGCTATGAAGTACACACATCACTTTTATGGATGTTTTTGATTATAGAAGGACGATTTAGGTAATATTAAATATCATGTCAGAAAGACAGACAGCATTAGGAGCCAACCAATCACACGTTCCAACATTACCTTGTGGTAGGCTCCAGGACATGAGGGCTTTAATGGCAACGAATGACCTGAGATTACACGCAAAAATTCGAACCCAAAAAAGAGCATAAGGGCAAAATCTGCTGAGTAAGCGGATATGTTTCGACTCTCAGACAGGCACTAATGCTTTAACACAATTCGCAAAGTAATGATTCATTGGGCGTGTGTGAAGCCTAGCAATAAAGGAGCAAAATATTTTTGATGTGTAAATATCTTAGCTGTTGACATGGATAAAATTTGCGTTAACCCAGCAGGAAATCTCTAATTGCTTCTTGTGGGTACGAATGGACATTTCTGAAATAGTTCAGAGCTATTTCAAGACCATTTCGGGGCCATTTCGGACCTGTTCTGTATTGTTTTAGAGCCATTTCGAAACTTTTCTGGATCATTTCAGAACTAGTTGGCGATCATTTCGGAGATCTGTTCAGTAGGGTGCCCATCGAAAATGCTTTTTTTGGAAATTTTAAGACCCTACCCCCTAATTTTATTCGGTTTTATGAGAAATATTATTGCCTATTTTTATAGATTTTTTAAAGGTTGTTTAGAGGTCGCGACCAGTCGATTTAGGCCAGAAAATAGGATTTCGCAGAGATATGAGTTTTTAATAACTATTTTTGATTCGATTTCAAAGATCGAATGTGTTCTCAGAAGAGGATATGTATATAGTAGGCCTTTAAAACCGACCGATCTCGACCAAATTTGGTATACACATTGTGCATAGCCTCCTTAAGTACCGTCTTGAATATTTTTGAAATCGGACAAAATCTACTCCTCCTAAAATATAGGTAGCTGTGAGTTTTTTTGAAATTACCGTTACGTTGGTGGAGCCCATTGTTTTTGTCCGCTTTAAAAAATTTTCAATATGGCGCTTAAGAAGCCTAAGCACAATGTGTTTACCAAATTTGGTTGAGAGAAATAAAATAAATAAAATACGCATATATCATATAAATGGGAGGTACCAACCCCATTTTCCTAAAATCTCTTGAAAAACCACTTTTTGCTAAAAACCGATTGTATATATCAATTTCCAAAGGTCCATTTCGGAACTTTAATATTTGAGAACCGTTTTGGGCCTAGTCCTGGACCATTTTGAGAGCAGTACAGGGCTAGTTTGGGATAATATTGGTAGTAGTTAAACAACATTTTATGGACTAGTACAGAACTATTTAGGGACTAGCTCTGGATCATTTAGGACACTTTTCGGGACCATTTCCCGACTATCTCATGCCTATTTCGGGTTCATTGTGGGACTATTGCTGGACCATTTTCGACTAGTTCAAGACTTTATCAAGACTATTTATATATATTTTATATTTGCGTCTAGTTAAAGTTCATTTTGAGAATAGGTCCGGACAATTTCGGGATTAGTTCAGCACTACTTTAAGACGATTTCGCGACTAGTGCAGGACTATTTCGTCACAAGTTTGGAATCATTTTGGGACTAGTAAGGGACCATTTCGATATCGTTTCAAGACATGTTCCCTTTCGGAACCAGTTGACTACTTTTTCAGAACCTCTTCAGGACTAATCCAGGACAGTTTTATAATAATGCCAACACTTACCTTATCAAGCGATGCGCTAGGTACATGAATATTAACTTCACACACATCCATAAGTCAGATTTGCGTATTTTCTCAATTGTACTGCTGTTCCGGAAGAAATGATATGTCTGCAGGAAGCCACTGAAAAAAATATAAAATATTTGGTATATATTACATGAAAATATAGCGAACAATTAAGAAATGCAAAAGTCCATACGACGAAACTGTACGTTTGAAAAACAAGAAAAACCACCCCAACTTTTTTTAGTTTTCTATACAAGCTAAAAAGCGTTTTCTAAAGGAAAATGAAAAAATTGACGATTGAAATTAAAAACTAAATATGCATTTTTGGCAATTAAAAATGTAGACATAAAATAATTGCAAATAAAAAATTAGACACACATTTTTTTTAATTAAAACTAGGCCTAATTTTTGCTAATACGAAAGGAAGGCAGACATATTTCGTAAATAAAAAATGTAACATAATTATTTCTAATTAAAAATGTAAACATAAATTTTTGACCTCTTTAAAAGAAGACATAAATTTTTGGCCATTTAAAAATTTAGCATAAATTTGCTGGTTCAGTTTTATTTGTTCAGCTTCTAATGGAAAACGAAAAAAAAAAAGATTTACTATTGAAATTAAAAGCTAAGCATACATTTTTGGCTACTTAAAATGTAGACATACATACATTTTTTGTTATTAAGATACCGTACATTAAAAAAATAGACATACATTTTTTATCTTTTAAAAGGGAGACATAAAATTTTATAAAAATTCAAAATAATTTTTTCCTAAAAAGCTCCCTAAAGCTCTTACCGCACCCCTTAAAACCAACCTTATTGTGAAGAATAAATCCACGAAGACCTCAAAATTTCCCAAATCATTGGTGAATTTGAATTGTTCCGACTTATTGCTCGTCGCCATAAAGGTAACCCAAAGCTGGTGATATAGAATCACACACATTGCACCATACCAACGCAAGCCATTCACTCCAGGAAATACATCATTGCCATCTATTACACCATCTTCACCAGCTGGAAATAGCAATTCAAAGTTGTTTAGCACATCAAAACAATCCAAATATCCTTTGCCAGTCAAAGGTTGTGCACTCGATTTAGGCTTCGCCACCGCAACACCTGCACCATTCTTCTTTCGATCACCGTCAGCCACCATACCAGCAGTTTCATTATTTCTCCTCATGCGCCGCGATAAAGCCACGACTGTCAGTAGCAGCGTCAAGAACAAGGACACAGATAAAATGATGAACGAAGGACGCGCTAAAGATCCCGGACGCATTTTCAGTTCCTTAACGCTGTCTACACGTAACCGCAAATTAAAAATATCATTCGCTAAAAATATTTCATCCTCTACATAAATGTCCATTAGTTGGGCTATCTCGGAAAGTGTGCATGCGGTTGGCAGGCAAAGGCCGATAGAGACGCGTGGTTCATAGTATGGTAAAATTGGATCCATTTGCAAAGTAGAGTTATGCCAGAGATGGACGACGCGGAAGTCGACGGGGAATGGTGCAATGTCTGTGATTAGTTTCGTATCCATTTTGTGTGGTAAGTGTTTAGATATTTTGAGATTGACTGGCTGTTTAACGGCATCACAAGTGTCCCGGCTGCCCAGCCATAAGCCGTTGCCTAACACAAAGCCAGGCTCCCTGGAACCTGCAGCATCGTACACTATAGAAGAGAAACAGAAAGGGGAATATGAAAACAACAAACAAGTGGTGAATTGTTTTAGCTGATTTTTGCTTAATATATGGGGCATGCAAATCATCTATTCTTTAGCTAAAGGAGAGTGGCAGACAAGGTGGAGAGTTGGGATCGTGTTAAAAGATGTCGACATAACCTTTTGTTGTGGGTTGTTTATAGAGCTCAAAAGCGCGGATAGACGTAGTTAGGCAATGTCTTCCCTAAAGGTGGAACCTTTGCATGAATCCATGCATAGCTCCTGGTGGGGCTTGTAAGCCGTAGCTTACTTCTGGGTTCCAACATTACTCCGAGAGTAGAGTGTGGGCAAGCATCGTGCGATATGCCAACATCTCGGACGCTTAGATGCTGCAAAAACTATAAGAAAGGCTAAGACAGCTTCTCATCTCCTTGTAACTGTTCTTCACTGTCTTATAAAGGAGAATGTCGCGGATCTTTGGTAGCAATTTTTGGCGACATGCATGTATGCTGCTTATCCAGAACAAAATTACGGTGGAAACTTCTACCTTCGATACTACGTCTAAATTTGATTGCCATGAGACATTGTTAAAAGCCACCCAATATGTATGTCCAGGAAGACCCCAACATCAATATTCCGTTCTCTAGAGCCATATTTATTCATCTAACAACATTTATCTTCACCTCCTTAAAGCATGTTGTGCCTTTGTGAGCATACATCCCACTACGTTTTGTTTGATCCATACTTAAATTAACCTCTGCAGGGTCTTTGAAAAAATGATTTTATTCTAAACGACTGATAGTTCTTGGGGTATGAGTAGCCACTTCAGTCCACTTTTGGCAAGAATATGACCCTCGGTTCCTCCTGCGCGGGATAATGCAGCGTCAGGTAGACCTTCAGGGAAGTGAGCTTTAATCATATTTCCAGAGCCACATTTGGTTCACTCCGCATCGTTCACGACGATAACTAGAACAAGTACATTTCGTCACTAGACACAAATAAAGGCGCGAGCTCAAAAGTTAACGGCGAAAAAAGACGCATAAAAAATTGCAGCGTCAAAGACTCTTAACATACTTCGCCGAAGTTTTTCATAAGCATCTTTTTCCGCAAAATTTTTTTACGCGCCTTTTTTCGCCGTCAAAACACTAGCGCGCCTTTATTCGTGTGTAGTGACGATTTGTTTTCTTCCTACAAAAAAATATTCGCTGAATTCAAGTGAAAAAAAACGTTGTGCATTTGAGGTGCTGATGAAACCGACAGTTAGTTTTTTTTATTTGAATACAAAAACATTTTTTTCTTTTTTACATTCAATTATTTCACACTCACTTTTAATTGCCCACGGTTGTTGTTGCAGTATGGCCTTTTGCATAATCTGCAGTTGTCCATAACAACTTGCACTAACCAAATCTGGGCGACTGATTGTTGTCAAGCCAAATAAAATCGACGATCGTTGCATTGACTCGAATTGAGCGCCGTTGTTATCGGCAAGAGCTGGCGTACAGAAGGCACAGCAACATAGCAGGATAAAGAATAAACTGTGTGGATATAATCTGTGTTGGAACATTTTGACGCGTCTTTCTTTTCACTTAGTTTTACAGTAAATTTTTAATTTTCATAATTTTTTTTAGAATTGGGCTAAAATTCTAAATTTCAAAATTCATTCGCAAATTTGTTACTATTTTTAATACAATTGCTTGCACATAATTTTTTTCTTAATAAAATTTTTTAAAACTTTTCACAAATGCACGCACAGTGTACTAAATTACTTTTCATTAAATTTAAAGGCAATTATTTTATAATCCTTTTCAACGACAAATTTTCTTTCGATTCGATTTTATTTCAACGCTGCCTTCAACTCACTATAAATTAAATATTTACTAAGGAATTTTTCATATATATATATATATATTTTTTTACTTTAAATTCGCATTAGTAGAAAAGGGGAATTCAGAATTTCACATTCGTTTTACAAAACTTCACTGCCCATTTCACGCGTTACGGTTCAAATCGACATGGCGTCGCATGCAAGTCAAAGAAAACTGTAAGTAAAATTTCTTCCATTCTGATATTTATTAAATTAGAATGGAATAAAATCTTTGTAATTAGCAAATAATGCGATGAATTTTAGGTAAGCATTATGTTTAATATTGTCGTTAAATGATCATCAATATTTATTAGTAAAATTATAAATATATAATATATAGATAAGTATGTAATAACATTTATTTCAATTGGCTGTATATTTGCTCGATGAAAAAATGCTCATGCGTTCACATATGTATGTGCGTTAGGGCGGATCAATTTGTACGGGAGATTTTTTCGACTATGCGCGTATAGCACAGATGGATTCTACGTATAATTCTAAGCAAATTTTGCGGAAGAAACCAGTGGGCTACAATCAATTTAGAGTTTTCCAAATTGCGAAAATATCATTTTGCTGTAGTAAATTTCGTAAAAAAGTGCACTTGGAAGAAGAAAACGCAACTCCGGCACAGAAAAGCGGCCTAATCCTGCCAATGTTCTGTCAATTTCATATTAAATCCGCTTTCTATCATTAATGATCACATTTACTTTCAAAAAGTTCCAGTTCTGTTACATAGTGATCGAATACTCTTTGGAATAAATAATTTTTAATGCATGCATATAAATTTATTTATGTATGCTTGGCAAGGGCGTAGCAAGGCCTCGACCTAAGGGGTGCAGGAGTTTATATAGACGAAAAAAATATTGGGCCTGAGCCCAACTTGTTTCCGCGTTCAGCCTGGAATTAACTGGTTTTTTGCCAATCCTTTGCGAAAGCTTCGTGGCGGCACAACATTGGTGCTTTAATTATGGATTTGCCCATACAATTCGAGTAGATAATTAATAATTTCCGCTAAACTCAAGTACTTTAAGCATCAATACTTTTACCCAGTACATTAGGTAAGACTTAAATCTTCGGCTCTGAGTGCTGAAAAAATCAGACTTATTAATATTTATAGAGCATGCAAAAAATGTTTGAGTCGTATCGCCCATGATGAATGTCGTATACGCCCATAATGAATGGTTATATTTATTCATGAGTTACATTAATTTTACTTACTTATTTTTTTATATCCGCAGCTCATTTAACGACAAAATAACGTCACTAAAGCATTAGCAATATTTAAGTGGACGCAGTTAGATTTCAAAGTACAAAGTTCAATTTACCTTTTAAATACTTCGCCAAATGTATAAAACTTACGTACATAGGTATTTTCGAGAAAAATGTTTCAAGTTCAAATTTCACAGTTGAAATCTGGTTATTATTTTTTTATTTAAACGTGAATCACACGTTTACTTTCACTAGCAATCAATTGATGAGCTCGTGTTTGTATTCATATTCAAAAGTGATGAATCTGTTATACACTGTTATATACTGTTATACATTTTCCTAAATTTTCAAACTAAACACTCTTTCGTTCGACACACCTATTTTATCTATACTAATATATATTTTTAAACCCCTGTGTTCGCAAAGCTCGAGAACGGTTAAACCGATTTTTTTGAAATTTCGGACACCTGCCGCACACGTCTCAAGAATGGCTATAGGCTACAAAAAAATTCGATACATAAAGGGGCGTGGCACCTCCCTTACAGCACGAATTTTTCATACTGCATAACTCTGGATGTGTTCATGCTAGATTTCTAGAGTTTGGTATGAAGATATACGAAATCAATCGAATACGCTTGGAGAAAAATTGGAGCTATTGGAAAAGGGGTCGTGGCACCTCCCATACAAACCAAACTTTTCATACTGCATATCTCTGGAAGTGCCCATGGTACTGTACTGTAACTTGGTATGAAGATTTTGAAATCAAGCCCATACTCATGGAGAAAAGGAGGCTATTCGAAAAAGGAGCGTGGGGCCTACAAAACTTTTTGTTCTAAATAATTAGCAAAAACTGCGAAAAAATTTTACATTGTCACGGTCTTCGCCATTTTTCAACCATTTATGTTGAAAATACGTAGCATATTTAAATGTTAGTATTTGGCCGATTCGGATTTGTAGCGTGCGCCTTGATGTTGTCACGTAAAGGTGAGGGACAATGTTGTTAATCAGAAATAAAAAAATTTACTCAGATTTCAATTATTTTTTATGAGTAAGCAGTAATTACTCAAGATCTGATAAATCATAATCTGATTAATCTCATTTTTTGATAAATTAAAAAATTATTTAATCGATTAATCGCACCTACTTTTTTAATTTAATTTTGATATTAAATTTTTTTCAACACAACAAGAATAAAATTGGGAAAGTCTTTCGAATGAAAAGATGAAGATAATTCAAATAAGCAAGTACTCGATATTTTGCCGATATTGAGTAGGTATCGATACTTTAAGTCATATGAATACAATTTCCAATTAGAGTGATACCCTAGTGGTATCGATTGAACCCTAATAGTGCATAAATCTATAACAATTATATAAAACTGAAATTTGAGCTTTTTATCTCCGATAAACTACCGAAATTTCAAAGATTTGCTTGCCATTCACAATAACACGTTTTTACAATATACATAAAAAGCAAATAATAATAAACATCTCTACTTTAAGTATAAAGTTCTATTCGACATCATACGCATTGTAAAGCATTGCCAGCTAGTTTCATTATAAGGCTGTACCTTTGAACTCGTTGATCTTAGCTTCATAAGCATATATGATTTTAAGTAAACAGCTATAAAAACCGCTAATAAATAATTTTAAATAATAAATAATTTTACTAAATAATATATCATTTAATTAGTAAATCATTTTTAATAACAGGTCGTTGTGGAATATTTACCCGCGCATTAGATTATGCAAAACTGCTATTTATTGCTGTAGCAAGTGACTTGTTGACGGCGAAGTAAACTTACTGACCTTAATGACTAAGCAATGACGACAGTAACATGCAATTTTCTAATAGGGTTTATAGCTTTACTAAAATGCAATAAATTAAAAAGAAAAAAAATACATATATAAAATTCTAGTTATTTACATTTGTTAATACAGTTAACTAACAACAAACATTATTGTGGCTAATAAGTACCTAGGCGTATTTGTACTTAGTTGATACTACATATATACAAACGTATGTACATACATACATATGTTTCGAGCAAGTAAACTTGTTATTTCTATGCTCGTGAATGCGTTGGCGTTTGAGTTGAAGAAAAATCAGATTACTTCTGCACTAGAAAATTGCACGAAATACACAGTGATATACTTTTTGTTATTCCCTTGTCATGATTTATCTTGATTATTCTCTTTGTTCGTTCTTTGCTTAGCCGGCATATGCAAATTTTAGAAAATTTCTTTTCATATGCTCATCGCACTGCAATCGAAATGAAGTTATTGCTATCGAATTCTTGCTGATTAGCTTATTCTCATTTCATCACTGCTGTCATCGTAGAACCAAAGCCATTTTCCTCATAAATCAAAGTCAATCATGTGTCAATAGAAAAATGTTCCTATCTATCGCTCGCTACTATTCTCATGTCATATGTACGTTATTTGATTTTTCGTTTGGTAAGATTTTTCTTTACATACGAGTAGGACATACAAACATATGTATATACATGTATGAGGCTTTTTCTGCCGTAATTAATGGCCATAAAAATTAAAAAAAAAAAATGAATGCTGAGACTCGCTATATGTCTGAGTTTAAGATCATATACATATGTACGAGTATAATAGATAATAAAAAATATAACAATATTTTGGCGTTTACTATTTTGCTGAGCTTTTACCTAATAGATAATAGATAACAAATAATAAATAATAAATACTAAATATTAGATAAAAAATACTTAACAATTTTGCATAAATAATATATAACAAATAATATACAATATTATAGATATCAGATAATAGCCAATAGATAATAGATAATAGATAATTGATAATAGATAATAGATCATAGATGATAGAAAATAGATAATAGATAATAGATAATAGATAATAGATAATAGATAATAG